CTGAGCTAGCATGTTTATTGGTATTGATATTTTCAGGTCTTGTTTAGGCAGCTGTAATGAGGAGGCATCATGGTTGTGGCTTTAACAACTAAACACTTGCACTAAATCTCTTTTATTTTTATAGACTAGCTGCTTCATGTATTATTATAGCAACATGAAGCTAACACATTTGTTTTCAGTTTTTCATAGAACTATGGTTTCAAATTATATATAACCTAAGTGATCACTCCGAATCTTGCCGAGACTGATGGTCTCCTTTTTGCCCTGCTTCAAGAGGAGGCTACTAACTGGAAGACAATTTGTTCTCTTTGGCAGAAATTTTTTTTATTGTGTTTATGAGGGAATAGTCTAGACTTTTTCATTCTTTTTTTCTTCTTCTTTGAGACGGGTCTTCATTTTGTACCCGATGCTGCTTCCAGCTCACTGTTTATCCAACTCTTGCCTTAAACTCCTAATCCTGCCCCCACCTCTCAGATAACTGAGCTGTAGGCACGCACCAGCTCGCCTACCTTCCATCATCTCCTACCTTCCATCAGTATTACTGAAATTTACAAATAACACAAACTAAAGTGTACAAGTAAAGTTTAAAATAAATTATTGTTTTACCAATTTGGAAATTACAGCTGCAACAGCCTGAATCTACTATCCAAAACATTACCATGTCTATGCAACTCTCCGTAGAGAGAATATTCCTCTTCTTGCCTCCAGCATTAGACAAGCCCAGAACTCCTTTCTGTCCCCATGACTGTCTTGTTTTTAGAACAGATAGAATCATTATGCGTATCATTTCTTCCAAGGGAGACGGGCTTATTTTACTTGGTGTAATGCTCTTGGCTTCATTTATGTGGCAGTGCATGCCAGCATTTTTGTTTCCTTTTTATTGCCAAGGCATGTTCCAGTTTATGGTATACCACAATCTGCTCACTCATCCGCTAATTGCTGGACATTTGGACTCTTTCCAGCCTTTTTCGACTGTGGATTTTACCCTATGCATTTGGCGTACAAATCTTTGTGTGGACATATGTTCTCATTTCTCCGTGAGTAAATATTTAAGTATTGCGGTGCTCCGTAATAAACATACAGCTTGATAAGAAACTGCTGAACTGTTTTCTAATGTGGCCATTCCATTCTGATTATTATCAACAATCTGTATTTCTCTGAGATCCAAATCCTCCCCAACAGTTAACATTGTCACTGAGTTTAATTCCTGTAGTAGGAATACAGCCATATGTCAAGGTGACGTAATTTACCTTCTCCAAGGGATTAATGAGTTCAACCATGTTCACTGTGTGCACTACATGTGACTGTCTTATTTGGTAAAGGGTATGTCAAGCTCTTGTGTCTTATTCTTTGTTGTTTTAATGAGATATGCATTTAATTCTGTTTGGACACAGAATATTTATACCACAGTTGGTTTTGCCCAAGAACGTGGCTGTCTTTTCACATCATTAGCAAAGCTTTTCTGGGACTGATGGGATGGCTCAGTGGTTAAAGGAGCTTGCTGCTTTTAAAAAGAATGAAGCTCAGTTCCCAGCACCCACATCAAGCAGAAACAATTGCCACTATCTTCATTTATTAACACACACACACAAATATATATGCATTGATTATTTAATCCATAAAATATAACCATATCTTTTATATAGCCTCATGTGTTTTCATCATAGTTTTCATTTATGGGGTATGTTCCTTGTGTCCTCTGACATCTTTGTGTGTCCCAAGGTCTGGAAGCTTTATGCTCTTAAGTTCCTAGTTTAGATAAAATGCTTTTGGACTTACTTGGCACATAGAAGGAAACATGATCATTGCATTCTTGTTTTTCTCTTTTTGTTACTGTGCTAAAGTATCCTGACAAAGGCCACTTAAGAGAGAAAGGGTTCAGTTGGCTCACAGTTCCTAATGATGTCATTGCCGGGAAGTCACGGAGGCAAGATGTGAAGGATCTGGTCATAGCCCATCCAGACAAGAGCTGAGGCATCCTCTCTGGTATTGATTGAAGCACACATGTTAGTGCATTTTTCGTCTGTTCCCTGGCCATTCCAGGATCTCCTATTAGAGGAAGGGTGTGGGGGAGGGACAGGGAGTGTCTTTCCATCTCAGTTGACATCATTAAGTTAGTCCCCACAGACATGGCCACAGGTCAACCTGATCCAGATAGCCTCTCACTGAAGATCCCTTCTCAAGTGACTCTAGATGTGTCAAGTTGACAATTAAAAAGGATCACAGTTTTGTGACATATTTTCCCATACTGATATAACTACTTTTCCTCAGATTCATATTTGAAATATGATTTTTACATCGATAAATGACTTTGGCATCTTTAGGTCCTTTATGATACTGAATATATGGGTGTGCTTCTCGATCTGCATTGCCCACCTTTATTCTTACAATATCTCCAGCCCCACTTTCATCAGTACTCCTCGAGCTTCAGGTGCAGGAGTTGTAGGTGTAGATGGGGCTGAGCATCTTTTGGTCAGTTGCTCTCTGCATTTTGACTAGTTGTTTTTTCATAACGGTCTCCTGTTGCAAAAAGAGGTTCTTTGATAAGGAATGAAAGGTAGACTTATGTCTGTCTCTGTTATATTTCAGTCTATTTTTAACTTGGCTTTGAATATGAAGGTACCAGGTGATCTTCAGTGTAAGCTGATTAGTGACCCCCTGGCTGTTATGCACGTGTTCACCGTGTGCTCTGAATCTCCTTAAATTTTGTTAGAACCATTTTCATAAAGACTCAAAAAGCCAAGAAAACATCCCATGTAAAGGGCAAGAGCCCTGTCCTCCTTCTGTGTCTGACAGCACTTTAGGTGATTGCAGGCTTCCTAACTCGGAATTAAAAATAGAACTATTTCCTCCATGCAGGGGGAATGGGGCAAATAAAGGAGCATGAGACAATTTCCGAGGGACTCAGACAAACAAAGCTGCTGTGGGCATTCTCAGATAGGGTGTGGAAGCACATTTTATCTTTCGGATCCAGGGGAAATCAGACAAACAAAGCTGCTGTGGGCATTCTCAGATAGGGTGTGGAAGCACGTTTTGATCGAGGGGAAATCGGGAGAGGAAAAGGTGAGAGCACAAAGCAGCATTCGTAGTAGGAGTTTCCAGACTGGACTGGAGCAATGGTGATACTTGGTCATGGTCCTCAGCATCTTTCTCTCATTTGGAAGGGATGAAGATTTAGCCTCTACCTGTCCATCCCAAGATAACTTTGTTTAGTGTGGTTCTGGGTGCAGGAGCCTTGTGAGCTGTGGGTTGTCTGAAATCTATTCTCAGAAGAACTACTCAATTGAATATATACTCATATATAGTCCTGACAGCTTCCAGACCACGATCATGCCATTTCCATTACCACTCTTCTCTCTGAGTAAGAGAGAGCCGACCACCTCGGGATGGATGGCTTCTGGAGAGGCTCAAAATGATCATGTGCTGTGCATATACAAACAGGAGAGAAGTGACTGAACAATTCTCAGGTGGAGAAGAAAGGGAAGGGATAGGAAACCAGAAAGAGTGCTTTTAACTTCATGTCGCTTGCAAAGAAAATCCAAGCAATCCGAAAGCAGACCTTCACAAATACCTGACTTGCACAAGCCTGCATGTAATTAAAAACCACAGTTCGGGGGGCTAAGGCTCTGTTTTAAAACTTGAGTAGCATTCCTTGATACTAGAGATTTCCTGGGAGTTCTGGCTGATTGTATGGGGAAAAGCTTAACATGGAATATCTTAAAGTTTCCTTGGTCCTTATCTGATTGTAACACCCAGACTGTACTTTCCAAAGGCTACCTGTGACTCTGCTCCTAGCTCTGGGGTTGCTGAAATCGGGTAAAAGCTTCAAGGGAAATTATAAAAAGCAAATTAATGAGAGAACTCACTTTCAGGCCTCATTTTCTCTATGATTTAATAAAAGCACCACTTAAAAACAATAACTTCAGGAAATGATATTTCCCGAGATTATTCTGAGGTTAATTTCCTCTTCCATCAACTGTTTAGAACGGTGGAGTCAATGCATTCAATCATTTCTGCCATTCTTTTCCAACTGGCCAGAAGAGACACTTTAAATAGAAAATCACATTATAAATTTCTAAGAGGTGCAGTCATTTAAATCCCACTTCAACTTTATTTTTTAAAGATCAAATAAAGAAAATTCAGAGAGGATGTTCATACATGAGCAGTGTGAGACTATATATATATCAGAATATATATCATGGAGATCAAGAATGCTAACAAAAATGAAAAAGGAAAATTGAGCAACAGTAAATTTTTCCTAATTTTAAAACTAATAGCTAAATAGAAATTCTTCATGGGTTGCTTCAAATATTTGAATATTTTATTACTTGGGGTCCAAACAGTTTAGTCTTTGTAACTATTGCCAGCTTAAGTTTATATAGCTTTATTCTATTATATTAATATTTGACCTCTATATTAACCACGGTATACTGGGGTTTTGGATCCATTGAAACATATGCATATATGTATATACAAAATAATTGGAGCTATGGCTGTTTATGAGTGCATACCATATGTGTATATGTAAGATGCATAAATACCGCATATATTTTAAATACATTGATAAATATACTGAAATATTGTACTGATATTGAAATATGGCTATCCAGTTATGTTTATGCTGACTGTATTTCATTCAGGAAAAACCTTGTTAGGCAGCAGCGAGTAGCAGCTGAAGTGTTCTAGGGAGGATGAGCCAACCACTGGATACATCCATCACAGTCAACACCTGATGCTCACCCTTTAAACAGAGAACTCGATTGGCTTTCCTCACCACACAGCTCATATTTCCCACAGGGGCACTGATAAAAGTTGGTTAGCATATCTGCGTGAGTCTGTGTGGTTCTGCTCTGTGCTGCAGACAAGAGGCCTGAGAAGCAGACCAAACAAGTATGCTGTGCAGGTTCCCCAGCAGGTTTCCCACACCTCTCTTCTGATGAAACATGGTCCTCCCAGAGCCTTACCACATTGTAGGAGACTGGAAAGAAAGATGACATGAATCGTTTCCTAAATGGCAGAGTTTATTTCAATACTCACATACAACTGAATGAGCCAAACTATTTACACAAAACATCAAGTACAAAAAATATAATACAATTTATCTGTACATAATTATGATTCTCTTAGTTTCCATAAAATGTTGGCAGAGAGATGACGAGCGGGATTGGGAGGGGGTTCTAGGAAGGAAGTACTATGCTCTTGGCAATATGCAGAACCATTTTATGACTTCATTGTTAAGAGATGAAGAAGGAGAGACACAGCTACTGGGACTGAGCCTAGGGGACTTTTCCACTGCTGTGATAAGTGTAAGTTTCACTTTACTAATATGTTTGGTTAGTTAGACAGGTGGGAGTTGGTTTTGGCTGATTTTTGGGACATTCATAATTGGTTCAGTGACAGACAGAATGAGTTCCCTGCCTGGGCTGACACAATTAGGGACTTAAGCTGATTTCTTAAAACAAGATCTCTGCCAGGTGTCATCAAGTACCAATTGGAGGCAAGGATGGCCGGCTCTGAGAGAGAACATCAAACCAGTGTGTCAGTGAGGGAAGCAAAGAGACGATGACCGCAGGAAACTTCCTGTCTGTGCCCATGTCTACCCAGAGTCCAGGGGAAATACTGACAGCCAGACAGAAGGATGAGAAGTATGGGTTGTCCAATGTTTAGGGGAGAAAACAGCCACCAGCCAGGTGCATCGCCACCAGACTCAAGCTGCTTTTTCCTCAGGGAACTGACAGGGATATGCAGACCGACTTCACTCTTAAAATGGCTCTGGAGTAGCTAACATAGACTGCCTTTGACGTTTAAATCCTAAGACCTATAACAGTCTGCAAGCTTACCAAGGGCTGAAGTTGGCCTAGGAAAAATTGCCGTGAGTGGGAAATGAGACAATCCCAACAGCTTTATTCTGTATCACAGATCAGGCAAGGGGGTAAAGCATAGCAGGCATAAAGTCAGATCAAATCGGGTAGCACAGGCTTTGGTGACACGTTTGCAGAATCTTACACTGGGACAAGCTGGTGTGTCTTATTGACAGATGAGGTGAGCATCATGTTGAGTCAGTGGCCAGAGGCTTTCACTGTGTACGTTTTTCAGATCTCGAAACTGGATGACAGTCCCTAGTCACCGTGTAAGAGATAAGCGGTCAACTTGACGTAGAAGACAGTACTAACATTTTAAACCCATGTTGAAAGTATAAAGTTTATTAAATTTTTGAACAGTTCTGATATTGGAGTTGAAAAATAAAGCAGCCCACATAACATCCCGGTTGGTTGTCATCCCGCACTGTGTCTCCTGCAGCTGTTTGCCTTATCCTGTTACTCTCCTGAAGAGCTCAGGAAACAAACTGTGACTTCTACATACACCGAGTGAGTGGACTTTCCTACCACAGGACAGGATCTAACAGGTTTCCATGAAGATTTAAAAACTAAAGCAACGATTTTCTTGCAGGCTGAAATAAAGTCACCTCATCTGGGCACCTCCTTGATCCTGTTCTGAGAGCGAAACCACACTGGGACATAAGACTTTTCTCTCTCATTGTCTGTTCCTGAGTTCAAAGAGACACACAAGAGTACTTTTCCTCAAAGTGTGCACAACCAACCCCTTGGCTTCTGAGTGGAACATTCGATCACCAAGAGGAACAGCACAGAGCTTTTAAAAGGCACTAGCAACCTTGTAAGGAAAGTCAATCACCTCCTGCTGACAACAGGCCTCCTTTAGGTCCTGACGGAAGAACAGCTTCTGTTTATCAGAGTCCAGGCTTAGCTTTCTGCTTGTATTTATCTAATACTGGAACCATCCGGTATTAAATTACCAAGAAACTGGGAAAGATAAGGATTATGGCTGACCTACTGCCCTTAGGTTCTTGACTGATTATGAGAGGGTAGAGATTTTCCTGCCGGGCTTACATTTTAGTGATTTCCATCTCCGATTTTCTCTTTCTGGTAGCACCCTTGATTAGTTTAGTTACCTGTACAATGCCTCCCCATTAAAGCATGCCTGCTTGGGGGCAGAGCTGCTACAGGCTCTGGTCATGGATAATAAGCTTAGATGGCAGAATGTCAGGTTTCAGTGAGATCACATTTTGGGGCTGGGTTCTCATTATGAACTATATACTATTTGTATCAGCTTCAAATTTGGTGTTAAAGAGGCGGCACATTCTCTGCAATATGAACTGTTCCAGAGAGGTGTTTCCATTCCTGATGCTTCAATAACATGGACCAACTTTCTGATAATGCAACATTACAGTGTAAATGCAGCTTCAATGTAAGTCCACGAAGAAGAGTGAGTTTTGCAAGTTCTGTCAATAGTTTAACATTGTTTGTTTTCCACAGGGTTTCAGTTTCCCAACGGGAACAGCAGCAAACTGCAAAGCAACACATCCCCTTTGTTTCATGAGATTATCCATAGAAACAACCTGAAGGCCTTGGCTTGGTGTTTATAGAGCTTTGAAATCTCCTTCCATCATTTTAATTAATGATAACAAATGAAAAGTTAAGCTGGAGAGATAGATGATCTCTGGGCTCTGGGCATTCATCTCTCACACAGCATTCCCTGGGCTGCATCTCTTAGGTCCATGAGACCATTAACTTAGGTTTTCCCATCTCGCAGGCATTTCTCACAGAAGCAGAATGCTCACTACGTCCGTTAGTATTTGACAATAGATAATATCAGATACCCATGGCTATTAACAGGTTTTGAAATAATGACAATGATGTATCAACATAAATCGCTAGATGCTCCATGAAGTTCTGAAGGGGTAGGAATGTACGGATGAGCTCGGCATGTTTAATATTGTCCTTGAACTCCAGGAAAACAGAAAGTTTGCAAAGGTTTTGAGACCTCCATGGCAAGTAATTTTTGGGGCTCTGAGACTCGGGCTTAATCTGTCACTTGAAAAAGAGCTTGATCTGACGCTGACCGAGTTCACTATATTGCCCACTGGTAAATGGTGTCTTGTGTTTCTGGTTGAGGTTCCCAAACTGTCATTGAGACTGTAGTGCTGAACTTAGTGGACCCCAAAGTGTGACTTAAAACATGAAAGGCTTACTGAAGAGTCTAGGATACCTCGAAGCTAAGAAAGTTCATGTCTCTGTGGAACAATTGATGAAGAATTTGGCTTGACCTATTGAGGAACTATTTGTGATTTATTCTAAACACAAGAAAATTCAACAGTGAAACATGAGGATATATGTGAATTCATATGCCAGCAGTCTGTATTTTGACAGAATGACCAAATGCAAACCTGACGCATATTTAGGATAACATCTTTTGAGCTGTTCAATCACACAATAACATGACCCTCAAGGGAAATCCTCTTTGATGAAAAACTGTCCACAGTATTGGAGGCAAGATTCATGTGGGAGATTTGCTGGCACAGGTGTCAGAACTGGCCATTTCCATCCCTTTATAGATAACTAAGGAGGTAACGATGCCCTTGACTAAGACTCATGCACCCAGGAATTGTGATTATAGAAGAGTCCAAATGTCAGGACCACAGTACCTGGTTGTGGGCCAGCTCCCCACCAGGGCCTATGCAGCATATTCAAAGAGAGTGACATCTCATATCCACATCTGTTTCTTTATCCTTCACTATCACCTGCACGTCAATAGCGTCCCAGTGGACGATGTGAATTGGACCTTCCTAGTGACAGAAGCATCTCAGTAGTAGACATGGACTGCTTATGACTTGTCTTCGATTCCTTTAGTGTCTCTGAAACTCCACCATGGACATAAGAAACAGACTTCACTTCCATCAAAGTCAATGTTAATTCTAGGTAGAATCTACTTTCATGTGTGTTTTGATGTATCAAACAGGACCAGAGATGCTTAGGTACCATGAGTAAGTTTTAAGAGGCATAGCCATAAAGATGCCTAGCTTGTGTTGGGAAGTTTTGAAGAAAAATCCCAGAACTATGATGACAGAGGCTTGTGTGTGTGTGTGTGTGTGTGTGTGTGTGTGTGTGTGTGTGTAGCAGTTTCACCAAATGTCCCAGAGTTCCTTAGAACTCACTGAGTTAACTTCAGTCAGTGGTGACAGAGACCCTAGTTCCAAGAAAGTCCCCAGGGTATTTGGAAATGTCTAAGACTGTGCAGTGTGCAAAGATTCTATTCTTCTTTCTGCAGAATGTCAGCACTTAGCAGGATTGACGATGGTCTAATCAGAGAGAGGACCATAAACAACATAGGGACCAACTTCCAAAGTATGTAAGCATGCGACTGAAGCCAGTTTCTTAACGAAAACCAGTCGAACTTGAACGCAAATGCTAGAAAATAGGTTGATTAATGTCATTTGACAACAGGTTCGGCCAGATGTAGCTTAAAAATATTAATTCTTCCATGTGTTTCTCGCATCAAAGGTCAAAAGGAAGCAAGGAAAGAATGAAGGAATTAAGGAAGGCAAGAAGGGCTGAGGGAGAGCTGCAGCAGGGAGGAGGGAAGGAAACAAGAAAGCCAGTCTGGAATTTAAACTATGACCCACAGGTTTCAGCCTAATCCCAAACAGTCCCCAGGTAGAGCAGATCTACTTTGACAAGGAGGTTCCAGGTTGGAACCATATCCTCTGCACCTGTGTGATAGGCTATTGCGTCTGGAAAACGGCATTCAGCAGTAGAGTTCCAGAAAAACAGTCATGTGGAGGGGAAAAGAGAATACAGCCCATGGGGTTCATAAGCAATTCTTCCAACTGTTTGGTTAAATCAGAGCAGAGGCCTGGTGGTTGGGGGTAGACAACCAGGGAGCCAAACACGAGGCTTTAGAAAGCTAGTGCTAATGTCAGAAGACTGTCTTATTTTGAATATGAGAATTCCGGGGTGGGGTTGCTATATCAAATGGATAGAGACCAGATTGGAGTTCACTGAGAAAGCATTTCCTATCAAGTTTAGTGACAAGTTCTTAAAATATTTGCATACTCCTTCCCAGGGGAAAGAAAATGACCTTTCAAGTCAGGGAAATATTCAAGAAGCGAGCTTATTTTTAAAACAAGAAAATTTAGTGCTATACCAAGAGGATTTATTCTTTTCTTAAAAGAAAGTAATGAGATGAATTCAGGCATCGAATGAAATCCACCCTAGAGACAACAAATAAATCACCCTACACATCTATCTGTTGAGTGTGGATTTTAAAAACGTGTGTGCAACGGAGGCTGGATCCGCTGTAGAAGTGTGAGAAATGCCACACAATGTCCCACTGGGATATTCCCATCTGCCATTTCTTCGCAACCTGACACATCTATCTCCCAGAGCTCATCTGCTGCTTTAATTTCAATCTTAACATTGAGTTATGTCTGAAAAAATGTGTTTATATGAGACTAATTTGTGATTAATCATAGATTCTTTTTTGAGGAACATTTTCCGAGATTGTTTCTTTATATTTGATAGGGGGAAGCACACTCATAAAACCCTGCAATCTCTCCTCCCCATGCTATACGTATTCTGAGATTGTTTCTTTATATTTGATAGGGGGAAACGCACTCATAAAACCCTGTAATCTCTCCTCCCCATGCTATACGTTTGCATAGATGTGAAAGTTTATTTTTTCGTAAGCACACATATGAGTGCCTACTCAGGTCTTTGCCATAGTGACTAGGGGCACAAACTAGTTTGTCTTTGCTTTTCAAAAGCATTCAATCAATACCCATATACTCTGTATCAGCTGTTGATGAGTCTCCTTTACTCCTCTGAGGACCTCAGGAATGGTCTTACAACAGTCCCCCATGACTGAGAGCAGAAGGGTCACTAGAGTGCCTGTGACCTCTCAAGGTACATTTTGACTGATACAGCCTCGGGGCAGAAGTGGGACCCGCTAGGCAGGATACACAGGAAGACAGCACTGCTGTAAAGTTGCCAGAGCCTCTGTCTCCTACAGACTGGGGGCAACAGGGGACGAACAAGGGGACCAGGGTACTGGAGTGTCAGTCCAGTGTGACCGTGCTAAGGTCTAGGAGAACAGTTTTAGACACCTTTAATGCTCTTGATAGGGGCCCATTGTTGTACATTAAACACATCAAAGATGCTGAATACAAAAAAAATGTTTGTCAATAAACATCAGTTCACTCAACACTGCATAACACAGAAAAATAAAGAGTAGCTTTCCATTACAGTTTGGTACTTTCAAAGTTTTCCATAACTGGCATCATAATGCTCAAGAATTTTTTTCACAGGGAGGGAGAGAAGGGCATGGAGTGTACCCCAATGCTAAGACTGGCTCTTCGGCACATTCCCACTGCCCAAGCCGGTGGCCTGCAGGCCTATAGCATGGCAAGGAGCTCCCTGGAATGCCACAGAATCGGAAAATCAGAGTAAGGCTAGTTTCGCTGCAAACCGCAGAACACTGCTGTTTATCTCGCTGTCTGTTCTCTCTTTCATGTGTCCGCTGCACAGTGATGACAGTCAGGATCCCAGACCACAGCAAGGGAACCACAACTTGGCAGGTCCCGGGCAGGCGGGATTCTGGTCTTCCCTGGGCAGGAGTCACTTCTAGTGCAAGCAAGCTCTTTCCAAGAACCCACAGAGTAACCCAGGTTGGGAGAGTTGGCCACAGTCATATCTTCATTCTTCGAATTACAATGGACCCTGTGAGGGAAGGGATCTCACAGATAAAGTGCCTGGCTTTTTGTTGTTTGTTTGTCTGTTTTCAAATTAAAACATCACGAAGCCCTGCATGAAGATGTTACATTTCTGAAGACATTTTCTAACATGGTTGGCACATTTATGAAATTAAACTCATGAAATAAGAGACCAGTTAGAGTCTGGGAGGAGCACAATGCGAAACTTCACAGCACGGCTCACTTAGCAACAATCAAATGTTCGCTGCAGACCAGACTGCCACAGCCCAACACGTAGGTGCCTAGGGGTGTGTGTCTTTTGTAGCGATGGGAAAGTCCTGACTTGAAATGCACTTGAAATGGATCCACACTTTATCTCTGAAGCCTCAGAAACAAGGGCAGTCATGGAGCACAGCTTTGAGAAGCAGAGAGTTTCCAAGGAGCCAGAAGCGAAAGAGCAGCTAGTAGTCGTCATAATTGTTGAGATCTGTAAAGTAGGCGTTGGAATAGGTCTTCCCAGTGAGATGGGGGCTGAAGTATTTGTTTCTCTCCTCTAGGATCAAGTTGTTTTTGTTAAATGCCTGTAAAATATGTTTGAAAAGATTTAGAAAGTTCAGTAAGTGATGTTTCCAATAGAATAAAATCGGGAGATGCTGGGCTGAACTGGAGCTCTCTCTGAAGGCTCTTTTAGTTTGGAAAGTATCTTCTCATTTACTGGCTCCTCAGCACATTTGCCCCAAGGAAGACTTGGCTGATAACTGGAGGAGGCTGGCTGTCTTCGGGGGCATCTGGCCTACTTTAGCACTTTAATCAGGAAGGAACTGAGGGAGACAGGACCAGAAATCCAAAGTCTGAATTTCTAGAAAATCTCTCAGACTCATGCAAATTTATAGACACTGGCAGTGATTTTCCATACCTGGGGATACACTAATATGCATTTAGACTTATATAAAGAGCTACATTTAATATGTTATTTTCACTAATTCTTTGAGAAATTTATAAATTTATTTTAACCATATTCACATTGCATCCCTTCCTATTCTCCTCTCAGACCCATTCCTACCTCCCAAGCCTTCATTTTAATATCCTATTTTTAATTGTTTAAACAGATAATCCAATGGCTCCAGTTTCTGCTGCTTATATACAAGTGGGTGTGGGGCCATCCACTGGAGCATGGAGCAGGGTCACGCCCTTAGAGAAACCAGTCTTCCCCCCACCAAAGCCCATCAGCATTTATCAAGACTTCACAGAACTTTTCTAAACAAGGGTATCTGAACAAAAGCCATAGTCTCTGTTCAGTCTGTGCTCATTACAAGGTGTCCACCGTGTCCCTCTGTGACACAGATGCCCTCATGGACTGTCATTAATGTCCCATGCAACTTCAAAGAATTAACTTATATCAACTAGAAAGTAAATACTGAGAAGACCAAAAGATGACACAGGGTAGGTGGAAGGTGGCTTCAAATAATTAGTCCAAGCAAGTGCTTGAAGGATTCACTGTAGACCAGGCAGACGGCCAGACACTGGGGTTCTTTCCCTCATGGCGGCAACATTTCTAATATCACCTCAGAGTGGGAGATTGCACCTGAGGCGAGAACACAGACCAGCTCAGCTGCCTGCTGCTGACTGAAGCTGCGAGACCACAGACATGCTGACATGTTGGCATCAAGCTATAGGGGTGTGTAGTTTTGTCTAGAAGGTCCACAGTGCAAAGTTTCTCTCAACTGTATAGCGCATTTTCGATAGACTATGGGTGAGTCCTCAGGGTCTAAAAGGTGGAAGATATTGATACATCTGGGATTTGGGTTCAAGCTGAGTTTAAACAAACAGACAAAAAAAAATCAACCGACCCCATCTCTGCCTGAGTGGCAGAGAAGAGAGCGAGGATGCTGCAGCCCTGGGATCATTAATCTCCTGCCTGAGGCTGATGGAGCTGAATGAAATTAATTGTGGATTTCATTGTATTCTTTTTCAAAGACTTTACTTTGGAAAATTTCATACCATTAAAAAACTCACACAATGAAGTATGGTATCTGTTCTCCCATTTCCCACCCCAATTCCTCTCATTTCATCCCAACATTTCTCTCTCCCAGCTTCATGTTTGTTTTTTAATAACCAACCATGTCTGGTTAATACTGTCCATATGCTCACGGGTGTGGGAATCTCCACAGGAGCATGGAAAACCCACCATGGACCATATCCTCAGTAAATAGTGATTCTCTCTTCCATGGCAACAACCCACTACCAGTTGCTCCTCAGGACAAGGTAGGACTCTGAGATCATCTACGCCCTATCTATGCCATGATCTCGTGCAGGTAGACACAGATCTGGTGAGATCATGATTACGGCAGATAGCCACATGGCAGCCAGAAGACATTATTTCACAGTATTTCTCCTTGTCCTCCGCCCCATCCCAAAATGATCCCTGATCCTTCGTGTGGTGCATAATACATATTCTTATAAAAGAGAATGCTCCAAAGTTAGCTATCATGGCAGGGAGAGAGGTTATATGAATGTTCACTAAGTAGGTTATGGGAAACAACTAACTTAACAGGGACACAGAAGCTTAGTCAATCTTTGCTTAGGAGACTTCCCTTCATGAGTGTAGAAGATAACAGAAGCTGGGTGCAGCAGACAAAGCCTGTGATGTCTTTAAAGGATAACACCGGCTTCTCGTGCAAACACAGGAAGAACAGCAGCTATCATGCTAACTCTCAAGGAAGGTCACTGAAACCTCAGAACTACATGGAGCTGTTCACTATCATATCCATTTTATAAAGGAGTACACTGAGGTCAAAGGAAACTCAGGTCTTCCTGAGATGGACATGGACATCTGAGTGCCATAGTGTGGACTTTATATGGCTGCTCAGTCATTCATTTGGTCCTAGGTTAGAGGTTTTTGCTGGAAGACCTCTCTTCAAAGGCAAAAAGCACATATGAGGCACAGCTGGACATGGTCCAAGACTTACTATTCCTAGAATTTTATATATAATTGCTTTTGTTTTCAAACTCTTATAGCCATTAAGAATAGGCAAATGAGAAAAACGAATCTCCAAAGACCCCCGCCCCCCCGCCTCCAAGAGTATCCAGCCAATACTTGTAGACTTCCTACAAGTACCACAGTGGAACTACCAACACCTACAGACTGTCTACACTCCCCAGAGAGCACCCAAAGGTCTGGGGTACCCCAACTCTGTCTGTCACCAGTACCGCCACCACTGAACCTTGCTGGCAGCCCCAGCACCACCTCGCTGCCTTTGTGGTCTACCTGGCTACAGCTGTCAGTGTCCATTCCTTACCTTGATGGCCTCCACTGAATCATATTTCTCCAGTTTGTTGATGTGGTTAGTTATGCTGCTGTTGAGAGCAGCAGGGGAGACAGGGTGGATGACAGTTGCATCATGGGACTGCTGCTGGTACCGCTGGCAGTAGGTGTAGACAAGCAGGGTAAGGAGGCAGCCGAGGATGGAACTGCTGAGTCCCACGGCCATCATGTGGAACATGTTGAACTCTGTGAAACAGGGCCAGTGTCATACTGTGCTTAGGAAGAACACGCTACCAGACCCTCAAAGTGCCCGACCGAAAAAAAAGATGAAAGGAGGTGCTGCATACTCCAAGGTACAGATGTCACAGTAGCTTTGTTCTTGGAAACGTCAGGGCATGTAAAAACGTCTCCACACTGAGCAACCTAGTTCAAATTAGTGTTCTTATGGATTATAACCATTTCCTCAAATGCCTTGAACATTGTTAGTATTACATCTGAAACACATTTGCTTTCTTCTGGAGGTCCCAGGGAGCCTTCAAGAACACAGTGGCCACTGGTCTGAGGGTTTTCTGTCAGTGTGTCTATGGACATTAACAGACTGAGCATCCATCCATCCAACATGGCTGCAGTCTACGAAGGGAGAACTCAATTGGGGCCCTCAGTTGCTCTACTCCTATAAGCCAGGCCGTTTCTTATTCTCTGTTTCATTTTATTCAAATTGTTTTCTATTTACATGAATTCTGCTATTAATAGTATTTTTGTAGATACAAATTTTGTTCAATAATAGAAACTTTTGAAGATTATGAAGATAACAGAAGTCACTCTTCTTTCTCTAGTTTTGGCTGTGTCTTTCTAGAGATGACACACAGACTTATTCTCTCCCTCCCTCTCTTCCTCCCTCCCTCCTTTCTTCTCTCCCTCCATCTCTCTAGTTTGTATGTTAGCCTGTGGGCCACTGTTTCTAACTTGCATTTAGTGATCTTATAAAAATTGTCTTACTCTAAGAAATAAAGGATTTGTGCTAGAGGCACTCAATATAATCTTGTAGCTGGACACAAATAATTCTCTTTTGACCCATTGTTTTCTATTTAATAGGTATTAATTCTCTTTGAATTTTTTTTTCACAAGCTTTGGATAACAGATATCTAAAAACTGAGCTGCAACGATGTGTCTAGAGAACACGAATGGTTTGATTGGCATCCTGGCAACGCATCAAGAGTTACAGAATGCCTAAGAAACTACCATCTGGAAACCTCCGTGTTTGTTGGGAAAACACTGCTGTTGAAGTTCTCAGCCTTCCTGCAGGGCTCTGAGCTGAGATAAATTAGAGTCACGTAAGGCAGAAGGTGACTCCCTTTCTCCTACTCTGTACTAGCACTAGAGGACTAACTCTGTTCAGGTAATTAACCTCACGTTCTCACAGCTCAGGGAGCATCCACAGGACCCCCTCGCTGTCTCCTCATGTGTTACCAGGAAATGCAATGTCATCCAGTAGTTTCAACTTCAGAGCCAAGAAGGAGTGTGGTGGAGCTACTGAGCTTGGTGTGGACATGGAGTGACATCCTTCACTATAGCTCAGTAGCTCCACCACACTCCCACCCGAAGCTCCATCTTAGCACCAGTCCAGCTCTGACACTTGTCAAAAGATCACTTGCTAATCTTTACCAATGGACGCTAGTACCAGGGTCTTAAGGTTCTATTAGAATTATGCTGTTTTTACTGCAGATGGGGGCTGCAGTGGTGATAAGCAAGGCTGATTTCGCATGCGCTCCCGTGTTTCTGTATTTTAGCTGTGAGGACACCCCTGAGTCAGTGCCACACACTGATAAAAATACTTCCGACTGCACTGATAACTCATATTTCATTGCTGCATATGGAAGATGTACAATGGTCTCCGTATGCAGATGTGCGTCATTAGTCATATAAATTATTCCTGCAAGTGCCCCGGGAAGTTGTGGCCAGCTGACATCTTTATGACAAGATTATTCAGTCTTTGTGTCTCCTGAAACTAAAAATAGCTAAACTGGAAGATTTCCATAGGAGCACATTCTCTGCAAAGGGAGAAATAGTGCCTACTAAATCTCCCGGGGTTCTGTACACTGTCGCTCCTCCTTAAATATATGCGTTGTCTTTTTAACATTTACTTTGTGTGCGTGCATGCATGCGTGTGTGTGTGTGTCTATGTCTGTGTGCATGTGTGCATGCTCATACATATGTGCAGGTATGGCATGTACATGGAGGTCAAACAACAACATCAGGAGTCAGTTCGCTTTCTTCACTACACAGGACCTTGGGATGGAGGTCAGGTCATTAGTCTTGGTGGAAGACATGTTCTCCTACTAATTCTACTATTAATTTATTTTTTCTTGGTTTTTGAACAATAAAGCTAGACTAGAGATCAAACACCCAGTTGGTTCAGTTGAACAGCTTTCTGTGCAACATTTGATTGATTAGTAATCATGGAGATAAGACATCTATAATGTTTCTCTATACTTGCAAACATTCATGCTATATAATCAGCTATATTAAACCTATCAGCTATAGCCTGAGATTCTGATGCTGCCCAATAGTATGACCCAGACATGGCTGCTGCAGAATCTTCCCATGCATCTCCCAGGGATTTACTGGGCCCCTTTCTCGGGAGGTTTTCAATGTAAAACCCCTGCTGCATTCTTTTGCTAGGATGCTATCCCTGAATCCCCTACTCATGACCCATCTGGATTTGAGCCCTATCTCATTGAGTTCCGTCGTTCTTACCCATACAATGACGATTAAAATGGACGCTTAGGATTTTTTAGTACAATGGCCAATATAAAATCTCCGGAAACTGTTATTCTTCACTTATATGGCAACAAAATGTGACATGCTGACTCCTTTGGCCCAATCTGATGAGAGCATCATTACAGAGGCTAGTTCTGGACAGAACCAGTGCTCATGGAGTTGAGTGGTCTTAGCCCATGTCCTAAGCCTCCCATCTAGGATCGGAATTGCGGATGTCGAAAGCCTGTCTCACACAAAGAGCTGTAGATGGTGGCAGCCTTGTGAGATGCTGATAGGACACATCTGTTTCTAGAAGCATTTAGTGGTGTGTCTGCAGATCATGACCCATATACTCAGAGACTTCCCTGACCAGCCACCCATATCCAACAGCAGAGCATCCTGGGAAAAGAGAGGTTTCAATATGTCCAAGTTCCAGAAAGAGCTCTTCTAAACAGGAAAACTCACCTCCACACCTTTTCTCTTCCACACTGCTGGATCTTGCCACAGACACTTCTGGAAAAACAGAAAATGCAATCACTATTCACAAATGAGTTGGGAGGCAAGTTCATATCCATGCTTCATTTCAAACACTAATGATTTTGAATTCAATATGAATCTAAGGTTCAAAAGTTTGGCTAATTATCAAAAGCATTGACTGTTTCTTGTTTTAATAAACCTGAGGAGGATTTGGCTTTGTTACCCTGACTACGAGGGTATGGTATTCAATACCAGAAAAAGGAAATGCCATGGTCCCTCAGGCTTGAAACAAGAGGAAGTATTGATTTCTGCTATGGCATGCCCCATCCCAGGGAGCCCCGATCACGGTGCCCTGTATTGTTTTTCTGGTGTTGCATCCTTTATGAAATCAAGGCTGAACCATCAGAGCTCAAGGAAAACTCTACTCAGAAGCCAAGGTACTCTCTTCCTGTGCCTCATGTGATACTATGATCATGTGATACAAACAGGACATGAACAACATGGCAGTCTTCCGAGTATGGAGACACTCCAGGTGTTTGGAAACACCAGACTCTTCCACAGGTATTTTTCATCAGATAACAAAGATTGAAAGTATGTTAAACAGAAAGCAGCATCACTCGTAGGCTGTATGTGGCTGAGGCACCTTCTAAGGGTATTCTAAAGCTAACGGTTCTGCGTAAAAAGAAACGCATAAACTGTGCTTCCGTAATTTAATCTCATTATTTCTCCCCACCAGTTTGGTCTTGGCTTTAGTCTATATTATGCCCCACAGAGGAAGGGAGGTTGTGTTCAGGGCTGTAGACATAAGTAGAAACCACTGGACAGGGTCATTGCAATAACTAATGGTCCCCTGTGATAACTAAATGTTGATTCCTCATTAAAAAAAAAGGCTGTAGCAAAAGGAACTGGTAACCTGTTTTTCAAGGCAATATTAATGACAGGCATCATGTTCCCAAGTATATTGAGAGTTACGGAAAGACAATGACCACTTTCGCTGTGCAGACACATACAAAACATTGCCATAATAAGTATTTATGCTGATATTAAAACAAGCAACCAGTTTGCAGTTTTTGTAGTAAAATCCTCACACTCCATTAGCATCAATAAATTATATAAGACATTGTGTTAAATTCCAGTCTAAATCTGCGGTTACATGTGAATTTATATTCCAGTCACCTTGAAACCACAACAGTAGACAGAATCATTTTCAATTCAGCAAAGGCAGCCTCAAAGAGCAGATAAAAGACTGACCCAATGGGTCATTTCCTCGCTGGATATTGGAATGACTCTGTTCACACTGATAAACATCTCCACCCTTACCTGGGATGATATTAGAGTCAAACACACATGGCCGACTCTCTGTGCTATTTCCGGAACACTGGCTGCCCACAGGAAACAGAAGAATACACTGCCGAGCACGGACCTGGATGCCAGAGGCATCACACACAGACCAGTGGGACCACTCTGACCAGCTCTCTACAGAGACCAGAAGGGGAGAGGCGAGGTCACCTGATGATAGCAACCAATCACAGTCAAGTCACACTGACTCTGGGCTTCCACACTGTGTTTTTAATGACTCTGTGCATAAACAAGATGTGGCCATAACTTTGTGCCAATCCAGTAAATAAATCCACACAAGGATGAGTAAATGTGCTAAAAATTTCAGTCAGATATAATGTATTTGAAGGGAGTGTTCTAAGTCCCATATCATTTCAATTCTATGTACAATTTTATTTACTAGTCAGTATGCCAGTTCTTGAGACAAACATGACATCTGGAGTCAGAAACCATCAGTGCTGACAGCTACAGAGTAAACTCCCCTACAAAGAGACCCTCAGATTATATCCCAGACATTTCCCCCAGGATCCGTGTTGGCCAGCACCACACGCTAAAATCCCTGGTTTCTGAATGGAAGCTTAAAGCACCTTTCTTCTGCAGCAAAACCACCTCTGCAAAGTCCCCAAAGGCAGACCAACCAGGAGAGCTCATTTCACCTCAGACCTTCTGAGATGAATGAAGTCAGTTCCCACAGCCTTGGTCAGGACCCAAGGGTGAGCAATGACTGGAAGTGGAGGACTTGTTGGAATGTCTTTCAATCCGCCCAGGTGTACAGATATTCCAAAACAAGGATAAGAATCATATATTATGTTAAGGAATGAACTCATTATTTATTTATCAATAAGGAGGATATTTTCATATATATATATATACACACACACACACACATATCTTTATTATTACTTTTTACAACTCAAAAAAACAACTTGTGCACTGATTCATACAAACGGATTGACTTTTCCTCTCAAAAACATAAAAGACTGATTTTTGGAATGATTATGAGAATTTGGTTTTGAAGTCCTCTTAAATATGGGTGGGATTTTCTAGAAAGACCTGTGCATGCACTCTGATAAAGTCTTTCACTGTCAGCGTTAAGTATGGAATGGTAACTCATTTCAGTGTCAGAATGCCTGCTTACCTCTCGGGTAAGGAGCTGTCTGAAACATCCTGCATCAAGCACAGGCCCAGAGCTTCCCCGTTCACAGCCCTGAAAAGACTCACTTCCTAAAGGCTGTGCTCCCTGTTCCTTGCTTTGCTTTGGTCCTCTGAAAGCTGACTGGACTTCCTGCCTTATTTCTTTAATTACACTGCCTTTGAGAACAGCCCTGGCCCTGAGTGAGGTGTCATCTCACAATGTCCACTGTTCCCCTGGAACATTTCTGGCCTTATTCCAAGCATACAATATGCTTGTGCCGGGATAGGCTGTGAAAGTGTGAAACAGGCCTCAGGTGAGCCTCCCTGCACACCAGGGCGGAGGCTCTATAAGTGTTACTCGCTTTCCACTTACTTCTCCCAATCTCTCTCCTCCATCAAAGTCAGGTGCTACCTGGGAGTCATCAGTGTTACTTAGTAAGGTCAAAGATGATTTGGGGTATATTTCCTCGGTAGGTAGTATAGATGCTATAACATGCATGCACTTTCCCATTTGTGATGAAAACAGCACAGTATGAAAATGATTTTTCTGTAGAACAAAGTGTCATTAAATAAATCAGAGGTAACAGTGTGAGACTGACTTGCCAGTGTCTACTGTGACTCACAATCTTTGTCATCGTTCGTAATTCAGAAAGGTGAGTTTGCACTGAAGTTATGCAGTAACCAAGGCCTCACGTACCTGGACAGGTCTGCGTATTGCAGAGCGCCTCCTCCGTGTGCAGTCCCAGGCAGATGTCCCCTCCGTAGGCTGGAGCTGGATTCGTACAAGAGCGGGTTCTCATGTAGTGTCCACCCCCGCAGGTTGCTGAGCATTTAGACCAGGATGACCAGCAGGACCACATACCGTCCACTGGGGAAGGACACAAAGCACAGCGTGTCTGAAGTCCCCACCAGATCAACACGACACAGCTAGAGATTATGCAACATGGAAGACAACGACATACACGTTGGCAAGAAGCCATGGTGTGGGGCATGTGGGGTTTCCTACTTGGAGGTAGATACAAGCTGAAAGAATCCCCCCATAATCCCAGAACCCATCTAATTTCCAGTTCATTGTTTGGTTCTTCAGAAAATATTTATCAACATATGATTTCTATGCACCAGCATGGCACACACATTCAATCCAGCATGACACACATGTTCAATGCATGTGGTGTGGAACTTCCTCTTCCGGACCCACAAATCAAGTGCTATAGTAATTAATATGAGGCCCCTAGCCAGTTCTCACCTTTACTGGTTTTACTATCTACCTGGTTTGAAAAGAGCTAAAGCTAAAAATCAATAGTTCAGGCAACAGACCTCCCTATAATTCACATTATTCTTGCCATTCATGTTGGATTCTGCCCAGGGCTTGTATCATATTTAACATATCCTAAGTAAGACTGGTTCATGAGAAGATCAAACACCCTGAAGCTTAGATCCTTATTTCTTCCAAGGAAAGAAAGCAATTAGTTACTGAGAACTTTTTGTTGAAATGAAATGTATATATTAAATAGCTCAATGGACAAGGAGAGAAAATCATTGCTCTTGTAACTGTGGTTACTGCTACAGTAAGATAAAAAGAGAATTCAGTTACCCACCATGAAGGAGATAAAGGTGCACGATTAACCCCAGAGTGCCAGTCACACTGTGGGTGGCTATGGGGACAAAGTGGAACATTTATAGCCTGTCAGCTCACGGAAAATGTGTTGCCTGTGCCTCTGTATGCTAAAGCCTGGACATCACAGGTCTACACAGAGGAGCAGTATGGCTTCTGTCCTCTGAGAAGTCTCTTGTGCTCTCTGTCTCCTTTGCTACCCTGTGGAGCTCCAAGAACACAAGGGTACTGCAGACGGAAAGTGCAGAGTCCTCAGCACACCAATAGGTCTCTGTATTGTTCTCTGGAGGAGACACACCTGCCAGGGTCACGGGTTTGAGAGCCTGTGCCCTTCCATCATATTCCTAGTGTTCCTTTTCCCTGGGCCTTGTTGTTTACAGAAGAAAGACAAATAGAACTTGCTGAGTTAAACTGGATCAGAAGAACTTACGTTTACTGCTCTCTGTTTTATGGGTGTCTAAGCACAACTCTAAGTCGCTTTCATCTTATTTGAATACACATAGCAACAAAGAACCATCTGTTCTCTCTAGCTTTGCCAGGCAAGGTCTCCAGTCTAGAGTCTTTACTGCCGCATCGAATGTACCAGGAGAAAAAGTCATGATCAGAAACAGTCATGAGCTTCTCAGGGTTGGGATAAATTATGCAGGAGCAAGTTCAAAAGGTGAAGGATAATCATTTTAGTACGCACTTCTCTTTATTATTATTTGCTTATGTTAGAGCCACAGACAGAACCAGAGCCTCCAGAATTTGAGATAAGCACCCAATGCTTAGACTAGGAAACTGGTGTGTTCTACTCTCTTACTCTCCGGAGATATGCTCTCCCAATGAACCAGATCACTTGGCTAGGCTCACTGGTGAGGGAGATCTTGGGATCTGCCTGTTGCTGTTCTCAATGTCGTTGTTACAGGCACACACAGACATGTCCATTGCTGTGGATGCTGAGAATTCAAATGCAAATCCACACTTATACAGCAAGTGCTGTGACCCATTGATCTGTTGTAGTCTGACAACATTTTAAAAAGACAGTGCTTTTTGTATTTGACCTAGTATAGTTAAAAATATCAGTTTATATGGGAAATATGCTCTAAATCAGGTAAAAATTACCCCAAATATGGTTTTCCTTGGCCATATAGCTCAACCTATGCAGAGCAGGGGGGCTTCTTAGCATCTCCTAGCTGAGTTATAGGTTATCACACTTTTAGGAATTTTACGGGAGGTAGAAGAGAAAGTTGATGCTCATACATTCAACCTTGAATCTGACAGTCCCTTGTGCAAAGACATGAGCAATTCTACAAAGGAATCTTGGCTTTTAAAAGAAAATGAGGACAGAGCTATTTTAAGATATTCTGGTCATGTACACATAGTTCTAGCTCAACAGCAAATCAACAAAAATAAAATTAAAACTACCCACAGATGATGCTATCAGAGTGTCCTAAAGATGGTCAAGAACTATTTATCCTCAGGGACGAGGACCACATCCAAGCCTCAGATTCCACATGAGCTACTAATGGACACAAGAAATGAAGTCAGGAGTCTGGAGAAGGCAGGGTGATGGGGGGAACTTGGCATTCGTATCTCATTCCCCTTGGCTCCAGTTCACAGCCCTGATTCAAATCTGGTGCTATCGCCCACGCTGCCTCCAAGCACCCGGGGGAGGAATCTTTCTCCATGGGCTGTGGGAAAGAACAACTCCTTGACCTTTCCCAGCATCTCAGCCTCAATTTGGCTGGGAAAGCTGTGTGGTCTGCAGAGGAATAGCCCGAGGCCAGAGAAATTCAAGCATAGAGGCCTCATGGGAGGAGCACAGCTGTAGGAGCAAAGACATCATTGAAAATCTCTGCTACAAGTAAATGGAAGGAAATAGGAAAGATCATGTGGAGTGCTGTAACCCAGACCTAGAAAAGCAACGCTGCATGTTGTCTCTTGTCTGATGTTCTTAGCTACAAATTGTCAGTTGTGAGTATATAGCCTGGAATGACTATAGTAGCCAGGAAAATCAAAAGGGACCATCGTGGGGTGGTGGTGATGGGGAGCAATAGAGAGGGAAATCTAGATACAGGTGATTGAGGGGAGCAGGAAAATGGGGATTTTAACTAGGGACAGGGGAGGGAGATGAATACAGAAAGAAGGTAAATAGTAGTAAGATGTCTGAAACACACACACACACAATTTTGCTGACAAATATAATGCACAATAGTGTCTTCTGTGGAAGAAAGACCAATTATCCAGTGCCTTGCTCCCCCATCATCTGACAACCGTCCACAAATATTTCCAGGTGTCACAGGCCATAACTAAGATCACTGTGGTGTGTGAGCCTGATCAGCAATCCTTAACTTCCTGGGGCTTCCACTTGGGCATAAAGCAAAAGTGGTCTACACAGGGACAAGGCTCTAACAGCTTTAAGACTGTGTTGAAGAACCTGAGACTATGAGAAGGCCAGGTGACACATAGGTCTCCTAGTCACCAGAAGAGAAGCCTGTCCTCAGAGGGTTTCATTCATGAGGTGGGCCCTCTATGGAAAACGTGGGACCTGGGAGCCAGCTGGTGTGCCTGGTGTAGCTCTCTGGGAGCTGTGACTATGAACCAGGTAGAGGTCATAGTGGAAGAGTTGGGTATATCTGTGTCCTGAAAGTGACTAACACTTATTTAGGGAACAGCAAACTAGTAACTGGGCTTAGATTGTAAGATCTGAGTATGTGCTGCGCAGTTTTAGGTCAACTCGACACAAGTGGGAGGCATCTAGGAGGGAGCGTCAAGAAATTGTCTCCATAAAAATTCCGGCTACAGACAAGCCTGTAGGGCATTGCCTTAATTAGTGATTGATAGGGGAGGGCCCAGCCTCTCATGCAGCATCCCTTGGCTGCTGGTCCTGGGTTTTATAAGAAAGCAGGCTGATGGAGCCAGAGGGAGCAAGTCAGGAGACAGCACTCCTCCATGGCCTCTGCATCTGCTCCTGCTTCCAGCTGTTTGGTTCCTGCCATCACTGCTTTTGATGCCAAGCTGTTACATGGAACTGTGAATGAAATACACCTGTTTCTCCTCATGTTATTCTGGTCATGGCATTTCATCATAGCAATACTAACCCTAACAAAGTGCTTCATGTGTGGTTTCTTATCAAATCAAAAGAACATAGACATGATTCATTTTATATTGTGTTTGTCTTTGCACCAGGCAATATGAGAGGAGAGCCTTGCTAGCCCTAAGCTAGCTGCTTGCGTGCCTGAACAGAGACTGAGGAAAATTTTAAAGCAGGGGGAATGATTTGGGACCAGACAGCTAGGATGGTTGAGGAATCTAGGCCTCTTTAGCTGTACCTGTTTCATTCATCCTCTCCAATGAACAACAGGTAAGAGGTACCACCATCACCCCACACACTTCTTAAGAACACACTTTTCACAGAGGGAGAGAGAGAGACAGAGAGAGAAAAACAGAGGTCTCCATTGGCTTTCAGTTCTTAAAGGCACACGGCTTTCCCAGTCTTTTTCACATTGTGATCCACTTACCTGGACAGGGCAAAATGTTGCACTCCTGGAATTCCAGAGACGGGCCAAGGCATGGCATGCCCCCATACTTGGGTTCCGGGTTGTTGCAAACACGCTTCCGGTTCCGAATGCCTCTGCTGCAGTCTCGGCTGCACTGGGACCAGGAAGTCCAGGCTGACCAGGCCCCATTGACAGTATGGGCAGAGTATCTTCCTGCTCGTAGAAAGTCTCCAGAAAGTCCTGCCAAGGAAACTCAAAATGTGATTCTGCAGGAGTTTTCTTTTTTTTTTTTTTTCCCCTGTATAGGCTGTATGCTCTATGTCTAGAATTGCCCTAATAGATCAAACCCTTTCTACACTTCACAAGCCAAAATCCTGCTGTAGCTGAATAGCAGCCTCCGGTTCCTCAAGCTCCTTTCCTGCAGGCACTATTTAAACAGGATGTACATGACACTCCATCTGAGTGTGCTAACACGCTTGCCATCAGCAGCAAGTCCACACTGGAAATTCTTCTGTTTTGTAGACATCTCTATAGAACAGCCTCTAAACCCCACCTCACTTTCCTGAGGATCTCTACTGCAAACTGTCCTCAGGTACCATGGGGTTGGTGCTACAGAAAGGACATTCACCTGGAGAAAGGGTCACAGCTTAGACCTGTCTCCTTCTAGCTAACCGTTCCGGTGTGAATTCATGCTGTGGAAGTATCAGGGTTAATCCCACTCGAATCACAGGCCATGGAGAAAACCCTTTGCTCCAGAGAGCTTGCCCACATCCCATCCCTGAATAAGCTTGCCATGTGTTGTAGAATGCTGTGAGCATGCTTGCTAACAAAATGGAACAGTAGGGAAGGGGGCTGCAGTGGGGATGGCTGAGGGTGGGTGAGCGTTCTAAGAATATGTGAATTGTTCTTGAAGACTCCTTGAATGTCGGGCCTGCTCTGAGCATTTTGAACTTATTTAATCAGACTCAGTCAAAACGTGTTTGAAGAAGATGCAGCCTGACGTACACTAGTAATCCCATTCAGTCATCGTCTCAGAAATGGTGAGGCTTTCACCAACGCCTCGCTAGCTTTTTGGTGAAGCAGTAGGCAATTGCTCTCCCAAGCAAGCGAACACCCAACACCCACAGCCATTCCTGAGCAACTTGTTTGGTCAAGTGCAGGCGGATGATTTTCTGAGAGAAGGCTTTAGGAACAGCTTTCTGAAATCAGCCAGTGTTTTGTGGTTATCAATAAACAAACAACAACGGGCTCTTAAGCCTCCTTTTGTGTGATCAGAAGCACAGGAGTCCAATTTTCAGTTTCCAAGACATCAATAACACGATGCGAGGATGATCATGAGAACTCAAAGCCATCGAAACAGACTGTTTGCATTTCCTTATACCGTGGGCAATGCTTACAGTGTTAATAAAATATAGGCTATCATTTTATAAATGTGATTTTACAAAAATTTATAAATTTCTATAAAATTATTTTTAAAACAAAAATTTTCATGAATAATATATACTATTAATATTTAAAACATTCTAGCTTTGGTTTTATATGTATCAGAATGGAAAGAATAAAAAATTCATGTCTGGGATGGAAAATGAAATCAGTTGTAAAGATACACCATGCTTAAACTTTAATATTTCCCTTTGATGGCACAGTGAACAGATAGATGTCATGGCTCATGCAGAATAAGGGTGTAAGTAAACTGCCGAAAAGGTCATCAGACCCAACAAGTGAAATGAAGGAAAGCAATTAAGTGTGAATTGAAGATGAACAACTAATATTTTAGGATATGTGTTTTCAATTTAGACTTTGAAAGATTCATAGAACACAGCTGTATTTAAGACATATGAGATATAATCTATCTCGTTGATTTCCTTAAAGAACCAGTTCTTTGCTTCATTGATTCTTTGTATTGTTTCCTTTGTGTCTATTTTATTGATTTCAGCCCTCAATTTGGTTATTTCCTGTCATCTACTCCTTCTGGGTGAGTCTGCTTCATTTTGTTCTAGAGCCTCCAGGTGTGCTGTTAAGTCACTAGTGTGAGCTTTCTCCATTTTCTTTATGTGGGCACTTAGTGCTGTGAACTTTCCTCTTAGAACCGAGTTCATAGTATCTTACAGGTGTGGGTATGTTGTGCAATCATTTTTGTTGAATTCTGGGAAGTTTTTAACTTCTTCCTTTATTTTTTCCTTGACTCAGGGGTGATTCAGTTGAATACTGTTCAGTTTCCATGGGTTTGTAGACTTTCTGCAATTAGTGCCATGGAACTTATGTTATATAGAATATAATGGGGAAAAAAACGAAATAATATTTGAAATTCTTTTTTTGTTTTTTTGGGTTTTTTTGAGACAAAGTTTCTCTCTGTAGCATTGGAACTTGTCCTGGAACTCGCTTTGTAGACCAGGCTTGCTTTGAACTCACAGAGACCCACATGTCTCTGCCTCCTACGTACTAAGATTAAAGGCATATGCCACCATCGCCCAGTTGAAATTCATCTCGAATTCTCATATTTTATCTTGTAATCTTGATTAAACTAATAAGATCAACCTTTGCAGAATGTGTACTTTTTATCTGGGCCTCCTATTACCCTTCCCTTGGAATTTCTACGTAAATCTTTTCTTCGAGCAACAGCAGGGTTTTATAAAAGAAGCCAAGGTGACTGCTATCTGCACCTCCCCTTTCAGGTCATGGTTTTAGTTCTACATTGTACATTTATGCTCATAAGACCTTCCATCAGAGTAGACTCCCGTGTAGAAAACAACAGGCTGTGTGTTGTTGAACTGTAGGCATCAGCAGTCTGAGACATGTCAGAGCCTGCAAATACAGACGATGAGGAGGGGTGCTGTGGAAGTGAATAGCGTTCGATAAGAATGGTTACTCTTCATGTCTCCAGGCACGCTCCCTGCTCCCAGAGAAGGCATGGGGACCTGTGGCTTGAGAGCACTGCAGTCCACCCTTTAGAACTGACTGGGACAGGAGAAACCCATCAAGTCCTCTATAAATGCCACTGATCTGACCCTCCCTGCATCTGCACATCAGTCTCTGAACAGCAGCACTCATGGGAGAATCAAGAAAGATCCCAATCACGGAGTGCTGAGAGAGGCTCGTGAGTATTCCGACATAGATGTGACTGTCTTTCTCATGAAGCCATCCCCTGGGCACTCGTCTGTGAGGGCCTCTTGTCTTTTAAGAACTAGAATGAATTTTGTGCAGTTATATAAAAGCATTTTTTAAAAAACAAAGAAGAAAGCAAATAATGTAATTTGGAGAAAAAAACTCAACCATTTCTGCAGGAAGTCCAGGGAAACATCCTGCAGGAAGTCCAGGGACAGACCTGCCAGAAGTGCCACCATGGGCAGTGTCCAAGACAGCCAGAGTGCAGGGCTGGACTGGCCTGGCTCTCCACAGCCACATTCAAAGCATTCACTAAGGCAAAGCAGTATTAGCAGAGATGGATCCAACGTGCTATTTAAAAGAAAAGCCACTGCATGGTATAAATAAACAAATGTGCTTCTACCATCTTTGTCTACTTTAGTCTCCCCGCCCCCACCCACCCCACCCCACCCTGTACCCACAAGACAGGGTTTCTCAGTGTAACAGCCTTGGCTATCCTGGAACTCACTCTGTAGACCAGGCTGGCCTTGAACTCTTGAAGATCTGACTCCTGAGTGCTGGAATTAAAGGCCCGTGCTACCATTGCCTGTCTACTTTAGGGTTTTCGAAAGGGGAAAGTCTACTTCTCAGCTATTATTTTTCTGACAGCTACTTTTTTCATCATATTCTCCAATATTAAATAAATCTCACAAAAACTATTTTGGATCAACCATAGTCACAACATTATTTGAACAGGGGCTCCCTCTAGTTTTCCATTTCAAAGGCTTTCCATGCAGTTGCCAGTCCCCACAGGAGCCCCTTACCATCTGTGGAGCAGCCGCTGGTACCATCGCTGGAACAGTACCGCATTTCAATCCTCTGCCTCCCCACTTCCAGCAGGTTGGGATCCGGCAGGCGGGCTTTACAAGTGTATCGGAAGCGCTGCTCATAGTGACCACCATTGTCCGAGATGTTGACAGGTGTCCAGGGCGTCCACGGCGTGGTCTTCTTCAGCTCTGGGCACGCGTTAGTGTTACAGGGCTGGTACTCCTGGAGAAGAGGAAGCAAGCATGTCCAGTCAGCTCGGGGGTGGGGGGAGCTCCTTTCAGGCTGTACCATGGTCTTCTGTGGGGCCTAAGACACTCAAAGCTGCTTCACAAAATCAAAACCATATTTATGTTAAACTGTCCCTTAACAGACACTTAGCTTCCAAGTCACCTTCCAAAGAAACCCATAGTTTCTCCTGTATAAACAGCAAAATTGAGAAAATCAATAAAATCGCGTGTGTAAACATGGTAAACACCTAAAATGACATCTTCCCTCTTCTTAATAAGTTCCTCACAATGCTGCTTATCTTGGGGTTAGTTTAGCTATTTTATAAAAACCTTAGAATATGCTCCTTAGACCCCAGATGATTTAGTGTGAGATTAATGAATACTAGCAGCCTTGGGAGAAGCTCCACAGCATTGGAGTAGGGGAGTGTCCTTGCAGCACAGGGAGGATGTGCAGCCTGTAGGATTCCCCCTTTTATTCCCCCATGACACTTCTCGATTTCTCCTCCATTCTCCCTTGCCCACATGTAATCACAGGGCGGAGGGTTTGGAGCTCAGGAGAGAGGAGATTTGAAGACATCTATAAAGTGAGACACACTGTCTGGGTGGGGTGTAAAAAGGACACAGGTGATAGAAATGTGCCTGGTACTTGGCCGTAAATACTAAGGGTATTGAATGAGGGGTAAATAGTTGACCCTTGAGGCAGCTCTGTGCCGCAGTTCCTCCAACTGCCAGTAAAGGTTGTTTCACTAGGGGAAAACTAACAGTGTAATGCACCAACTTCTGACCACTCTGTAAAATTTTAAATCAGTGTTAAATCAAATATAAAGCAAGAGCTGAGCCGTTTTCAGGACACAGTAGCAGCATTGCACGCATGAAGTCACAGTGGCTGTGGCTGAGCGCACAAGACCTGTATAAGATCAAGCCAGCCAGAGTCCCAGCATGGATGACGGCGAGGCTAATGAAATCCTACTCCTGAGCAACTATTGGCAGTTGATGGCTGCTAGGAGGACTCAGGCTAATTCAGGGATGTGGCCCATGAGAAGCTACCCACGTTCCCGCAGATGGTCCTATACCTACAGTTATGGAGCAAAGTCCACACTAAGTGAACACAGTAGGCTTTCTAAAGAAAGGAGTGCATGAAGCTTGGAGGAAAATGTGGGGAGAAAGGGGAAGACTGGAAGGAGAGGAAATTTGGGGGACATTAGATAAAGACGTGTACTCATGTACGTAAGTCTCAAAGAGAAACCAATAGAAAAGCAAGCTTCGCTGTGCTTGAAGTGCTGCAATTCTGTGCTAGGCTTTCCTTTCCTTTCTGTTGTTTATTTCTTGTTGGGAAAGCCATCATTTCCCTTAGATGGCTTCCTTTTTGTTGGAATAAATCCCATAGTCGCATTCTTAAGTAAGGACGCCTTCAAGGCAAAGAGCGCACTCTTTGTTACCCTCATAAAACATCTCCATGTGTCAAACTATATGTAAACAATCTACATGCATCGAGATATTGGTAGAGATTTTAGGTGGAGAATAAATTTTTTTCAGAGAGGAACACTTCCTGTGCTCTTATTTCCCACTGACACAGTTGAGAAGTGCCACATTAGCTGATCAGCTACCTGTTTTGGGCTATTTTTGAAACTCTATTAAATAATAAATTAATTTTTTCTTGTTTTAGAAATTTCATTGATGGCTTTGTTATGTGGTCTCTGTCCCCACCTTTTTTCTTGTCAGAATTTCTATCCTATGGATATGATCTCCTAGGTTAAACTTTGACTATCTCATCTACTATGCCTTATTTTTTATTTCATCTCCCTTCTACGTTTTAGGGAATTTTTGATTCATTCCTTTCTGCATTGTTTCCATCAATACGTTTGGCACACAGAGCCAACTTTTCTTATCAGCCTGGAAATTCCTGAATACAATTTCTAAATGCCAGCCAATTGTCAAGTGGGAAGCAGGGCCCTCTAACCTCAAAGTCTGGGTTGGGGGCTATGTTAACTCTTTTCTGGATATGTCCATCTCTGTCAGCCTAGATTCATTTAGATTTTCACTGAAAACAGTGAAATCTGGTTCTTATTTTTTTTTGTGTTTCTGGATTAAGGATTGGAAAACCAATCTCCCCAATATAGAATTAGTGAGTTTCTCGAAATGGACACCTTTGTGTGCCGGTGACAATAGCTTAACCTGAAAGGCTAATCTACTCCCATCTCACCGTTGTTCTAATTCTCCTAAGCAGTCTTATCACTTTCTTCCTTTTCTGCAGTGAGAAATACGCAGGACATATGCTTGTAATACAAGAGGAATTTAACACAGACTGTGTAAAGCCATTATATGTGTTTCTCTGACTTAATACCCACAACCATTCCTATCAGTTCACACTAACCTCACTCCCACAAAACTAGATGCCTTCATTTTTCTCTGGGGGTAGTAAAATTTTGGATGCTTCCTCCTACATGAAAAAAATAGCTCCCTCAAATTCTATAAACCCACCTGGGTGAGGAGGTGAGGCAGCAGAGGCCTGCTTTCTCTTGTACTTGGCATAGAGGCTATCGGATAGATGAGGCATAAGCTCCTATCTTAACCCTTCCATGCCCATTGTGTATGGTACCACAAGAATCATACAATACTATTGTCTGATACCCCATGTCAGCTTGGATGAGCAAGTGTGCAGGGATACCTTGATAACATATGCTCAAAAAAGCATCTGAGGGGTTGACTTGTGAACTGTGTAGTTCCTACGCACCAATAGCTTCAACATTGATTATAGAATAATTATGGCTTTATACCCACAAGACTACTTCAAATCCATAGCTTTGCATCTGAAGATATCCAACCTTTGAAATCTGTGGCTGGTACTTGGCATTGGAAAGTGGGCTCCAGAGTCCGGACTGGCATATGACACACATACCTAGCAGTGAGTTTAGCGGCTCAATTTGGGTTCATTGTATCTAAGTCTCTAACAAGGCATCTGTCTCTATGTTTGTATCTCCTCAAGAGTTTAACATGTAACTCAAAACTCAGCTCACCCATCTCTGAGGCTGGATCATGCTTGCATTTTGTGTGAATTATCTAATTATGAAAGCCTAGGAAACAGTGAGACCAATCTGTTCTCCCTTAATTCCCCAAGTTAGCCACTAATTCAATTCAGTTGTGGTCTCTCAGATGGCTTAACTGAATCTGTTTTCTACAGTTTACTGCGACAAACACTACCCAAATTTAAAGGAATTGTGAATGACTAGCACAATATTGAACAACAGAGAAATGCTGACTGCTTAAAAAAACTATTTTAAGGAGTTAGTAACTATTATTTGACACACACCAGTCTTACTATTCTGGTAGAAATTAATAGATAAGAATAACGACTAAGGCAATTTTAAGAAATTCCTCCGAATGTGCTCCCCATGGATTCTCTATCTCAGTCATCAAGGGTAAAACCATCTATTTAACATTTTAATCCAGAAATCTGTGAGACACTCGGCTGCGCCCCTGCTCCCTTTTCTGCTAGGGCCTGTGCGTGCAGCCTCCTGAGTCCATTCGCTGCCCCCATCTCTCTTCTCTTCCAGTAGAAGATGGCCATCACTCATCACTTCCAGCTCGTGTTAGAGAAACAAGGCATGTGTTTTGCTATTCCTTAACTGCCTGTCTAAATTCTGCCTTTATTAATACACTACAAGCTTTCCGGGAGAAAAGAACTTTTTCCTCTTTATCTTGCACCACCAGTTTTGAACACTGTTACAGAATTTGCTTGGTGAATGGCTAAATCACGCTGAACATGGTTCGGATAAGCCTATTCAAGATGAGTTCGAATAAATTTGGGGAGCCAATTCAGATGGTTATGTGGAGCCTCCTGTTTTGCTGTTTATTTTTCCTTTGAAAAATCTAAACCAGTTTACAGATGAAAAGGAAAGTAGAGAGATGGAGATGATCCAAGAAGAATTTTCACACCATATGCTCAGCACAATGTGGGGGAAGCATCCTTACAGCCGTCCCATCAATAGCTGCATATACAAACCAATTCATGCGCGTTCGGAATACTTGTGGTTTCTGGTGCATTTATCAAGTTCTCTTTCAATAACTTAACATGGCTTGCAGAGACAGAGCTAGCCTCCATAAAGGAAAAGGACACTCAATTGTGTTAACAAAGTGACCACGCGTGGGAGCTTATGCAGGCCAATAGACCTGAGACCACAAAGAAAAGATTAAAAGGAAGCACTGAGAATTAGTTTAGTGGTACCTAGGATGCTGGGCAAACAGGGAAAGTCATTGATTTGGACTAACATGATCGCAGAGTGGCCTGCTCACCACCAAGATACAGCAATGGAAATTAACTCTTTTGTCAAAACCGCCCAAAGTAATATGAAGCAGCAATGTTTGAGATGCCAGCCATCAGTCAGTGAGAGGATGAAGACTGCCTGTTGGTGGTAAGTGGGAGGACCCTCAGGAGGATGGAACAGCCCTGCAGATGTTCCTAGCTAGGGGCCCAGGGAATGGAAAAGAGTCTCGGGTTCAGACCTGGAAAGAAGTGGAAGAGATAGAGATGGAATCTGGGGATGCCAACGTGGCTGCAGTCAGAAAGGGGAGACATGCACAGGAAAACAAAGCCAAACAAAGCAACAACAAGAACAACAAGCAAAACCAACTAACCCACCAAGTCAAAAAGTAGGGAGATACAGACAGCTCCTCCCTCCAGCCATTTCACATGGGTGAAGATGAGCAAACAGCCGCTAAGAGCGCTGGCAGACGTGAAGAAGACCTAGGAAATCACACAGCAGAAGGAAGGGCCTATCCAAAAATATCAAGCAAGCTTTTATCCCTGTATAATCCTCCTGATGTCATTAGACAGTAGGAGCTCCTCTTAGGTCCTGCCAGCTGAGGGCTCAGGCATGCTGGTCTCCCAGTACCTAGATGGCTTTACACGCCAAGTCTTGGTTTTAGACAACGGCTCCACACACCGAAGTGCATGGCTTTATGTGAGGCTCAGAACATGAAAGAACATCTAAACGG